TGTTGTACACTGGATTTGTTCGACTGAACACCTAAACAATGTGAAAATTAAAGCTGGCGCCACCTAGAGGCTGGCTACAGCAAGTCCCGCCCTGTCCATGTCTATATTCTCAATACATTTCAAATCATTGTTGAGGACATCTGTTAATTTACATTACCTTACTGCTGTAAGATTAAAAATTATATTTTCTAAGGTTTAGTCTTTTGATCTTTAGTTGGTCCTCATTTGGAAAAGGGTGGATTTCTCTCTTCAGGTCGAGGGTGAGGTTCTGCCTCAAGTGGAGGAGTTCAAGTATCTTGGGGTTTTGTTAATGAGTCAGGGAATAATGGAGCATGAGATTGACAGACAGATTGGTGCAGCATCTGCAGTACTGTGGACGCTGTGCCAGTCCATTGTGGTGAAGAGGGAGCTGAACTGTAAGGCAAAACTCTAAAGTTTACTGGTCAGTCTATGTTCCTACCCTCAGCTATGGTCAAGAACTCTGGGTAATGACTGAAAGAATGAGATCATAGACACAGGAGGATGAAAAGGGTTTCTTTTGCAGGGTAGCTGGACTTTGCATTAGAGACAGGGTGAGAAGTTCAGTTATCAGGAGAGACTCAGAGTAGAACTTCTGCTCCTCCACATCAAGAGGAGCCAGTTGAAGTGGCTTGGGCATCTGGTAAGGATGTTTCTGGGTGCCTCCCTAGGGAGGTCCTTCGTTCATGTCAGACTGGGAGGACTCCAAGGCGTTCCCAGGACAATAGTCTCTCAGTTGTCCTGGGAATGCCTTGGAGTCCTCCCAGAAGAGCTGGAAGAGGTGGCTGTGGAAAAAGATGTCTGGACCTCCCTGCTCAAGCTGCTGCCCCCGAGACCTGACTTCAGAACAAGTGGAAGATGAGTGGATAGATGGATGAAAGAATGGATGGATGATGGATGGATGGATGGATGTTTAGGCAGATCTTTTTCAGCCAGATTCCAGCTCTATAAACTAAAACATTGCAGTGCTTCTCTAAAAAACTTTGGCTTCACTTTTGGACAACATAAGAAGACAGAGGTGTGTCATGTGTCACGTGTCTTAGTTCTGAATCCATAAACTTTACCTAGTTGTTTTACGTGTCCATGAAAGTCATTTCAAACATTCTTGAAGCATGCTCAATAATCCAAGTAGAAAAATCTAAAAAAGTTAAGTCTGGTCCTCTGGACAGGTTAAAAAAAACAAAAAATTGTAGAAACGTTTCTTCTTTCTGAAGACTGAAGAAGTCTTGCTGATGAAAGACAAAATGTTTCTACAATGTTTTGTTTTTTGAACCCGTCCAGAGGACCAGACGTAACTTTTTAGATATTTCAAACTTTCTTTTTTCTAAATGTAAACTGATCCTTATTGTTGTGTTTTCATATACAGGTACGAAGAATGGCTTCACAATTCAACAAAACCTTTGACTAAAGTTCTGTTCCAACAGAGAAGGATGGTTCATGTTGATCCTCGTTTCCCCAGAGGTCTAGAATTACACACACATGCATATTAGAGCTGCCTGGGAGGAGAAATTCAATTTCCCACAGCGGTCCCCATCTGAAGACGTGAAATAAGTGCTGTTAGAATTAGAAATCAAATTATGGCCCAGATCCTCGCAGACTCGCAGGTGGCACACGGTCAACAGTCATTTGGATGAAGATTTTGCAGGTTGCATAAATCTGGGTCGGTTCTGTCCCGTGGTTCTTTTACTCCCAGCTGAGAAACACCAAACTCCCTAACAAGAAACAAACGACGACTCCTTTTGACACGAAACACACGGTTCACGTCGTTTTACATGCCTCTAAAGACGGAACAAAGTCGAGGTACGAGCAGAAACGTTGAGTCTTTGACAGAGAACTGCTGCACTGGAAGGAATATTTCACTTTGCAATGAAAACTGTGATTATCCACCGAAAGACTGACGTCCTGAGTGTAGGTCATCATGCCCCCCCCTCACCTCCAATCACTGTTCACACATGCTCACACTAAACGGTTCATTTGCTCACCACAGAGGAACTTTTGTTCATTTTCTGCACTTCTTTATTTATTGAATATACCAGAATATTTTATTTATGTAACTTCCAGTGAGAACTGTCACTTCATTGCATTTAAGGGCCCAGCATACTCCATCTGAAGCAGAACAGTCGACTCGTGGTCATGTGGTTGTTGGACGTTGGTTTCCCTACACACCTTTCAGGGTCCACGAGACACAGAGCTCCTGGGAACCCCTCCTGCATCGCTGCACAAGGTTCTTCCTGCCAGAGTCTCCACTTGTTCCCTGCATCTTCCGATTGGCCACAAACCGTTCATGAAGGGAGCGCCACACTTTTCAGCAGACACGATGTCTGCACCAGCTCCATCCAGGAGTTTTTCGTCATTTGACTAATTTAATGTGTTTGAAGAGTCAACGGCTGAATGTCTGAGCACATTTCCACATTTACAAACACGCCCACAAACTTCTGAGCAATCATTCAAAACTTGACGCACACGCATATGAGAAAAAGTTCAGCCTGGGCCTTGTGTTGAGAAACTGCAGTAGAGCCCTCCTCACATTCAGAAACCTTACTGTCACCCCAATCCAGAGTGCTCGATTACAACAACCATTACAGCTGCGCTGTATCTGTGCATGCCAGTGACGTGCAGTGAGCTTTGTGACAGGTCACTGACTGTCTGGGATCATTGCGCACATATATGAACCCAAAATAGAAGTTTATATTTCAATTTAGCCTTTTTCTTTCTAACTCTCTCTAACACCTTCTGTTTCAACTGAAAATCTAGTTTAGAAAAATCCTTTAGTTTTGAGATATGGTCTTCTATTTTGTCTAAACAAATTTAAATGAGTATATTGTTTGCTCCACCTCTGCTGCCCCTCTGTGTAACAAGAACATACAGAGACTGCACCTGCTTCATTGTCCCTATGGGGCAGCACTGCCCTCTATCGGTGCAGCACGGTACTTTCTGCCTCACCTCGGTATATTTTCAGCGTGCATTATGACGATTAGAAAGCAGAAATATGTCTCACACATTCAGTCAATGTATTAGACAGATTGTAGAACATCAGCATGTGCAGCACATGTGTAATCAAACTTGTATATTGGCTACATAAAGAGAGACAGCAATGGGCATGCACCAACCACCAACTTGTGTTGTATATGACACAGCGCCCCTAGAGGTGAATCTGAGCACTACACTGCCTCACCCCACATCGTTTGAACAGGCCATGCGTAAATTCCACGATTTTGACCATTGAAGTGTTGAAATAATCCAGCAAACAGTTTTATAAAACACTTATAGATGTCAAGTGGTCAAATGTATTTTATTTTATCATTGTTAGTAATTTACTTGTCATGTCAATTTACTTGTTACAGGCATGTCATTGACTTGCCTCTCCTGACTGCACATCACTGGCACATACGTCGTTGTGTATGTCCCGTTTAAAGGTGAAAAATGTAAAAAAAAACAAAAACATTTCAGCTAGAATTCCTTACTTTGATTCCACACATTTAAAGCATGTTTCTCACCAAGTTTGAGGAAAGTCAGCTGTGGGTTTAAATATATTTCACCTTTAATGCACTTTAACAAGCATCAGGTCTGTGCTCCTTGTGCTCATGGGCAAATGAAATACAGAAACAACACCACCACTAAACTGTTTTCGTTGTGTTCAACACTTCTCATCTAAAGGATGTTTCTCACCAGGTTTGAGGACAATAAGCTGTGGGTGTTTAAATATATTTTAACTTTAATGCACATCTATAAACACATCATGTAGTGTGGACGTGAAAGGTACCGACACAGCCGTAAAGGTTGTTGTAATCGAGCACTCTGGGTTTGGGTGAGAGTAAGGTTTCCAAATCTGGGGAGGGCTTTACCTCAGTGATGAGGAGGAGCGGGCGAAGCTGCTCTGAAAACAAAATGATGCGATTTTCATCACACAATTACGTCAATGAGAGACGATTTTACTGCTTCAGATGGAATATGTTCAGTGTGCAGGACTCGTCCCAAACCACAGACAAGAAAACTATATATATAGTAAATGTAAAAGGATATTTGTGTTATCCCAGCTATTCGGAAGGAACAAAAACAATACGCTCAGTGGACTTTTGATTAGCATAAAAACAAGAAATCTTTTTGTCTTAGAAAATAATAATTTTGTTCTCAAAATGAAGTAAAAATCCACTTTAGTCTAAAGTTGTTGTTTTTTTTACTACACCATGAAAACTCCCTGATTGTCCAAACAGATTGATCTGACTGCTGTCTACTGCAGGTAAGATGTTTACTGTTCATAATAACACCTTCACACAACTCTGCTTTGAAAGAATCTGAACTACTGATACAACCCTCTAACATGTACCAGGTTCATCAAATAGTAAAAATAAATAAATAAATCTAAACACTGAATGTTAATAAACTCCATTGTTACATCTGATTATAAATATAATCCCAAATGTTTAAAATTAATTAGGCTTTGTGTATTGGAAATGATTAAAACCACTTTAACTTCTAATGTTGCATTTGAGATGACAACAAATATTTTATAAATGTTAAACTTTGATTTGAGTATTTATAAGCTGCAGAATTAGTGCTTGGAGGGATCTGATTATTTAGGCTGCTCTTCAGATCAGAGCGTGTCTGTCTGCTGGCTCTGGTCTCCGGTCATGGATCATGGTGCATCAGCAGCGGACACAGAGGACACTTCTGAGGCGTATGAAGCTCTTTGAGTGTGGCAGAAGGTCTGAGCGACCCACAGCTGAGTGAATAATGATGAGAATCCATTGCAGAGTGAAATATTCACCAGTCGTTCTGGGAAGCCGTCAGCTCAGAACTGAAGAGGTGCTGAGCTCAGTCCAAAGTCCCCGTGACTTTGAGAAGGAATTCATCTGAAGAAGAAATCAGCCACGAAGCAACGCTCACGACTGACGTTAACTCAGAACCACCTGACGCTCTGTGGCCTTCAGAACCTTTACATGAACCCCTTCCAGTGTTCAGTCCCTCACTAAGGGCTGCACTCAGGGCCTCTTGTCGGCATGTGACTGGCTGCTGGCGGTTGTGGTGGGGGAGGGCGGGGTGATGTCTGGGTAAACCAGGAAGCCGGTGAAGGTGATGTACTTGGCGTGGTTGCTGTAGGCTCCGAAGCCGTCTCTCTGATGGGAGTAGAGCCAGACGGTGTCCCCTGGTCTCAGCGTCAGCATCAGGCTCTGACTCTGCAGGGCCTTCTCCCCCTGGCTGTCGTCGTAGATCATGGCCTGCACCTCCAGGCGGTTCTTCATCAGCTTGACGGACAGCGTCTTCTGGGGCAGCTTGCCGACGTTGAAGGAGAAGTAGTACGCGCCGGGGATGCGGCAGACGAACACCCCCTCCGTCACGTTGAAGTCCTCTCCGATGTTGACGAACGCCGTGTCAAAGCTGATGGGGCGGTGCTGTGGCATGCCCACCTGGTCTATTCCCAGAATGCTCTGGGTGCGCCCCGCTGAAAATGCGGATCTGTGGTCTTCCTCTTCGTCATCGTAGTCTTCCTCTTCTTCCTCTCCTTTTTCAGGCAGCTTCTTCTCCTCAGTGTCTCCTGTGCTGAACTCTGTGGCCTGCAGGTGGAGGTTGTCCCGCTGGGGCTGCTGGGAGCTGTAGGCGAGATGGTGTTGGTGGTGCTGCGTCTGGTAGCCATAGGTGTCTGGGTAGATGAGGTAACCGTTGAAGGTGGTGTAGTGTCCCGTGTTGCTGTAGAGCGCATAGCGAGGGTCGCCATGGAGACGGAGCCAGACGGTGTCCCCAAACTCCAGCTGCAGCATGACGCTCTGGCTCTGCACCTGAAGAGTCAAGGAGAGGTGAGTTATCCTGGCTGGAGAGCCAATCTGGGCCTGTTCTACATCTAGATGATGAAACAGAAACAAAGTTTTCTAATCAGTTCCTAATCCTAATTTAAGACAAACACTGTGAGTGGATCTAAACTCTGACACAACTGAAGACCTTTGGAACCATGCCCCTTCAGACCAGAAACATCCTGTAAGAGAGTTATGGCTGAGTTCTCTCCAGGAAGTGAAATCCTTTTGTTTGGAGCACAGAGAGTGCACGTCTACTAAACCTACACATCACCTTTGGTGCCGCTGGCAACACAACACTCTGTGCACACAAAGAATTAACCATGTGTGCTCAGAAAGATGTGGTGAGTTTATGTTTCTGACTCTTCCATAAAATCTCAGTTATTTCACATCAACATCTGTTGGACATGACCTTTAGGTGTGTGTGTGTGTGTGTGTGTGTGTGTGTGTGTTAGGGGTTGAATCGACTAGTTGATTCTAGGACATCTCGCAAGTTTTAATATTTCACGTTGACTAGTCACACTCGCCGCCTGCCCTGTTGTTCCTGGCCCTATTCCACCCAATGCACGTGGTGGATTAAATAAAATAAAACTAAAAACAGCAGGACGGTAGAGCTGTCATTTCTAACATGGACCAGCCTGAGCCCAAATAATGTGCTGGATGGGCGGGCCGGTTGGTGTCGCGCTTTTGATTGCGTCAGCGAACACGTGCGGCTGACGATCCAATTTGGATCACCACCAGCTGCGCTGACCGGCCGGTTTAAAGACGTACAAAAAAGTCCAGATGGATCACTGCCAGACACACCTGAAGCTTTCCAGCTGCTGCGTCAGCAGACGCGTGTGGCCGACCACCATTAATAACTAAAATAACTATAATATTATAATAAGGTGCTCCAAGGTGCTCCACCACCGCCCGCCCCGCTGTCCTCAGTTCCAATCCAACAATGGTGGATTAGATAAAATAAGGCTAAGAACAGCGGGTGGTGGTGGACTCCATCATCAACTGCCCCCCTGTTCTCAGCTTTGTTTTTTTACGTGCTGCACGTTTATTTCATTTTGCAGCTTAATAATAGTTTTGATTTTCCTGTCACTTATTTGCATTTTGATAAATGGGAGGAGCATAAATATACACCCAATGTTTTTTTTTGTGTGTGTAAATAATAATTTTTTTTTTGCTAATATGATATAGCCTCTTGAGTTCCTATGATGTCATCGACTAGTCGACACCGACTTGACTTTGATCATGTTAAAGTCGACTTTAAAAAATATGTAGCCATTCAACCCTTAGTGTGTGTGAGAGAGAAAGAGAGTGAGTGACAGATTGAGACAGACAGAGAGAGAGAGTCAGAGTTTCTTTATTTGTCATTCTCATCACATGTGGTACATGTGGTGGAATGAAATTATGTACACAGGGCCCCAGTCCCAATCCAACGGTCCACTGCTGGCTGCTTCAAGGCTTCTCTCTTTAGTTTTATTTAGCCGAGGCTCCCAGTAACCTTTTGTCTAAATGATTGTTTATTAAAATATTTATTTTAGTTGTGACAATCATCTGGACTCCACATGATGTGCATCCATCATTCGCTCCGAGTGACACGGACCAAAAACATGTTAGCATCATAAATTATCTGTGTGAATGGTTGTTTGTCCTGTTTGTCTTTCTGTGTCTCTGTGATGGACTGGAGACATGTTCAGATGTCTCTGCCTATTGTCCAAAGACGCTGGAGATAGACACCAGTTCCCTGTGACACCTGTACCAAAAAGTGGGTAAAAAAATGGACGGATGACCCAGAAAGAAGTGACAAAGATATCATCTTCTTATTGGAGGACAAGTTCCCGACATCAGAGCTGAACGGTCAGACCAATGACAATTGAACATGTCACATCTGAGCCAGGTGACAATACGCTGATTTAAATGTTTGATGTTTACTCTCAATGTATGTTTGGGTTTCTCTGAGAGGAAGAAAGTTCCTTCAAATCAAAGAAGACAGGCAGGTGATGTCCTGTTGTTGGAGGTGCAGTTCTGATGCTGAGTTAATGCTGATCTTCAGCTGACATTTATTATTTATTATTAATAACACTTGTCCGAACATGACGTCTCAGTGACGTCAGGAAGATTTAAAAAAGACAGAAAAGTCAGTTTAAAACCAGCATCAGTGAAGAGAAAGCACTGATCTCAACATAGTACGATAAAATGACAGCAGCCTCACGTCTGAAGGTTCTTAATGTTCTCATGATTCATGTTTCACAGACTCAGCTGCTTTATTAAAGATAATTCTGTGAGAACAGGCTCAACCATTAATACAGTGATTGCACAGAGCTCTTATGGATGGGGTCTGCGTGTTATTTGTGTTTTTCTTGTGTCGTTTGTTCCTGCCTTCCTCAGAGTTTTCCCCTCGTGTTGCCAGCTCCTGCTGCACCTGTCCCTCACTGTCCTCCCCCAGGTGTTTGCAATGACTTGTTAGAGTCACAATATATTCTACGTTTCCTTGTTGTTCTCCTGTTGGTGGATGGTCCAGTTAAGGTGTCATGTTCTGTCTCCCTCCGTGTCTCCTCCTCCATGTTCCCTCCATTTATGTAAGGTTTTCTACCACGTCAGCCTTTTACTTTTTGTAAATAAATATATTTCTTATTTTACCTTCGAGTTCCCCGAGTGTCTGTGCACTTTGGGTTCAAGCGACCACCAGATCGTGATGCACAGACTTTTTTGTCCTGGTTGTAAAAGCGATTGCACATTATGTTTTATTTCTGTTCATTTATTAATTGGACTGGTCTTTTAGCAAAGTCCTGTTTGATTTTTTATGTTTTTAAAAAGAAAAACTTATCTGACAGTTGAACAGTTGGACAGTGTCCAGTGTCACTGTTTCTTATCACTCAGCCCCTTGTCAAAAAAAGCTAACGTTCTGTGATAATTTGGATTCAAATTGCTTCTTCGGATAATCTAACAAAGTTAAGTCTGCTCCTCTGGATGATTCTTCTAGTTGAAACGTTTCATTTTTATCCAGAAGACTTCTTCAGCCTGAGGAGCTGCAACAAACTCAGTCTTATAAATAGCACCTTCTCATAGTGGATCAACCAGTTTGATAGTGACAGTCAGAACTAGCTGTTCACATGATAAAGGACCATCAGCCTAACGATTGATCATTAGTGCCCTGATGGCCGCTTGCTATTCAAACAATAAATTACTAAAATAAGAATAAAATTGTTGTGTAAAAATTGGGTTAACTTAACCACAGTAGTCCTTAGCTACTTAGCGGTTGGTTTAGTGCAGATTCACTCTATCGCTGTTTTTCAAAGTAAGATTGGACATGACACACAATTGGTTGATTGATGGATGAGCAGCACAATTGGCATGACATTTTTATTTTAAATAAATTATTTTAAATTATTTAGCACCTGCTGCACATTTGTGCAGCCCATACTGCAGGATAAACTTCCTGCTGCAGCTGATCAGCTGTTTGCCATGCAGATCGGAGAAGTGGGCGTGGCCAAGAACGCTTGCAGGTGGCTGAGAGCAGACGAGTTAGAGAGCTGAGATCATAACATTATGTGCTCTTTTAGAGCGTTTAGAGTTTATAAACACTGTTTAGAATACTGCAAGATTTTAAATCATCTTCATATATATTTATATATATAT